AGCATTGCGCGGACACGCCATTACTATGCTGTCAAAGAGGTGTCAGGATGAAGGCTGGGAGTGAGTAATGGGAGTGAGGTCACCATCTGCGGTACATGATATGACAGGGCCGGCACTAGTCCCAGTCAAGTGAACAGCTTTTTGACAGAGAGCTGAAGAGCTGAGTGTGGCTCCAGAAGCAACAGCAGAAGGCTATTTGACAACTGTGACTTCTCAGACAACACATGTCAGCCAAATCGCACTGGTCATCCAAAACATTTGTTTGAGGTACTAAGTCACTGATAGAGCAAATATTTTATATAGAAACAATATGGACTCTCTAATTACAATGAATAATCACCACGTCTCACTACTGTTATGACCAGCTATGTTCATGCTTTTAAATTATGTGCAACATTACATTCATTTTATAAAATATATTACCAAGTAGATTTAATTAATTACAGACGAATTTAATACAATTCAATATTAATATTGGACATTTCAGGAATGACACAACATTTCCATGAATACATTCTCCTATAAAAGTTACACAGTGTATTTTTGAGAAATGTTTAAAACCAGCTATTTCTTTGGGATATTACAGTTTCACCACACTACCACACTGAAATACATGTGTGGATTCCTATTTTGCTGTTTTATTTCACCCGTTCAATGTTGAGAAATGTTGAGATTATCGATAGAAATAACACATCAATGCTACCAATTTTATGAATGCTCTATTTTGAATTGAGTTTTGTATTTCATTTGACTCAGTATACAAACTCTAAGTAGAACATCAAACAGAAAGGTAGTGTGTGTTTGTGCTGTCAGAAACAGGAGTGGATAAATACCAAAGAGCACAGTACATTGCGGTGACTTACCTTTAACCACGAGCTCGGCGTAGTTGGAGACTCCAGAGCCTCGGGGGGACTGGGTGACACAGCGGTAAAGGTCCTGGTCTGTTCTCTGCACGTCATCGAGCTGAAAGGACACCACGAAGCGCCGGTGACTGAGGTGCTTGACGGACGCACTGGTTAAAATGTCCCCATTGTGTCTCTGAAAAAGCAGCAAAAAGCACTGGGTCAGACAAAACAGGACAGGTCATCATATTCTCCCTCCAATGCACACAGAAGGACACAGAGGATACACACAAATACAGACAGCACACACAGACGAGCCTGCTGTGCAGTGTCACAATAGATATCATCTTCAGTGCTACTAATGTGCCTTATGTAATAGTTTCATTGTTCAAATGAGTCTGCCTATTGTTACACGGTTTCTTGCCTTTACCCTACAAAAAAACTAGGTGAAGTAGAGGGTTGCAGGGTGAATAAAAATCACAGTTTGAACTACTAATAGGAAAATACAGATGACTGTTTTTAGGCAATATATTATCAGTAAAAAAAAAAAACTGAAATAACCAGTCTCAGTGGGATCTTATTCTGTCTAAAACCATGTTCGGAAAAGTATGCAATGCCTGTACCCTAACAGTTAATTTTAATTCTTCTCACATGCTCCTGGGTGTGCTTAAAATGTGTATTTAAATTAAAAATTCTAATTGCAATACTAAGACAAAATTGCAATTGCATATTTTTCCTAATTGCCAAAATTAAATACAAGCTCAATAATTGTGAATAGTGTCCAAAGTCTGTATAAAAATGTTTACACTGTGTACAATCTGTAATGTATTATAATTGCTACATAAAAAGATTGCATCCACAACTGCTTAATATTACACACTCTCCCAACCCACCAGACTAACAATAAAAAATACATTAAAATGAATCCTATCTGGGTCAGATTTTTATTAGTGCCTCATAATTAAACAGAGAATTGTCCATTTGTGTGTGTTTTAATTAGAACAGCAGGACCATCTCAGTGCTCTGTGATTTAATCACCCAATATGACAATCTGATGTCCTTTCATAATAACCAAAGTAATCTTGTTAAAATAATAGTCATTAGGAGAGTAATGTAGAACAGCTCTTTATGGAAGCTGTCAATAGAACTGTCATCCAAGTACCATATGACAGAGCCACAGTAAAGTAGTGTGGTTATTTAAAGATACAGTCTAAGTTACAGGTGTAACTTTTTGGCCACAATATAGATTAAAATACAAACTTTCTAAAAAAGTTATAACTGTATTGTGCAAAGGTATTATGTTTTTCATGTTAATTCACAGTACATTAAAGTAGATCTGCTTCAAATCCCTAAATCTTCTTTCTATCAACGTAGACGAAAAAGGTATCTATTAAAGTAAACATTTCCTTTTTTATTTGGGGAAAAAAGTGGGTAAAGTGAAAACGAGGAAAACTGGAGACAGCCTCAAATGAAAGTTGTGGGCTGCACCTCACTGCTGCACTTTGCATTTCTCCCATTGTTCCACACCATTAAAACTCTGAGCATTTGTCAACTCCACAAAGCTCACAAACACACATCGAGCCTGGCATAGTTCCCCACGTTTTCAGGCCACTATTGTCATCATGTGAAATGGTGGCCGCGTATTTCTCAAAGTCTTTCTATTGATGTGGCTGTTTTAAGTGAATCGCAAGCATGTGGAGCCCGCTGCGAATAACAAAGAGATTTCTGGGTTGAGCTGGTCGTTGTCCTTTGGGCCTTGAAAAACACAGTCCACACACACCTCACATACAAGCAAAAGACTGCAGTTTGTGCTCTGCAGCAACAAACTGAAAACTACAGAAAATGACAAAATCTTTAGCCGTTACACTACCATAACTGTGTATGTGTGTGGATATCAACAAGAACAAGGACACACAGTCCAGTATGAGTCAGGTGTAAACTCAAAGTGTTGTTATTGTTATTTTTCACAATAACAATGATAAGATTGTTTTTTATTTTATAATAGATCTACATCATTTGCACAACTTTTAATACCAATCTTACTATAATTAACTTGACTTAATAATGCATTCAACCTCCAATCACTATACTATAATTTACTATTCATTTACTAAGTATTATGATTAAATAATTAAGATGCTGTTGAAGGTATGGTAATTATACACTACAGCAGATGAAAAAGCTAATAATCATACACCTTTTTTCTTTATAGTCTATTGGCTTTGCATTATATATGTGAAATTGATTGACTATAAGAGTTGGCATGTTTTGCTCCTTTCTACAGACCAACACTGAATAAACAACTACACTATAATATAGGGACACAACTGGTTGATTGATTGTAATCAGAGGTACATTGTGCTCCTGAGACAATACCTGAGCGCATCATCTACTCTATGCATAGTACTAGGGTTTGCTTAAGGTCAGATGGAATTAACAATGTCCGTGAGGGGCCTCTGCAGTCAGTTTTGTAACTGCAGCCCCAACTGACAGATTTTTATGGCACAATGGTCAAGAGTCTTTCAATAAACAACTTAAAGAAAAGAGTGCCACTGTGAGCTAGTTTGAAAAGCAAGTAACTGAACCTAAGTCTGAAAGGGACATAAACATTTTGATAATTAAAAGTAGGCACATGTTCTGAATAAAGAGGAAACCACTCTGACCCTGTAAGCTGTTTAACTTCCCAAAGGCAAAGAGAGGAGACTTCAAGGTGCTTAAAAGAAAGGTTACCAGTCTCTATTTAAACATGAATACATTAGGGACATTAGGCTATTCAAACACAGCATATCATTTGTGATATTGGTGTAGTGGGGTGATACAGATACAGAAAATAAAAAGTCACATTGCACATTTGATGACGGATGTTTTAAATGAAGTTTCTAGAGGTTTTTCAGTTGTTCTTTCAATGTTGAAGGCCTCACCTCCAGCAACAACTTCTCAGCTTCAGATGACCTTCCAGCCGCCACACATTGGAAAGTGGCATTCTGCCCGGCATTGACCTCCTCGTCTCCCAGCCTGGAGAAATGTGGCGCCTTATCTAAAGACAGACACAAACACACATCAAAAGACTCTATTACCTTTAGGACGCCCACAAAGCCAGAGGCTTACACAATGGACATTCTATTGTTGCTTTTTTACCTTTTTCATATTCGGAAACTCAACTACATACATTTCTTTACAAGTTCATCTCATTATCACATCATCTGTAGAGCTACCGCGTGGTATTTTCTCACTGTGGTAAAGTTCATTTTAACAGTATTTTTTCTTGCTATTGAAACGCAAGTGCACTAGTGGATATTCATACAATGTAGTACATATAACTCGAATATATTGTTTTATGTGTGTAAATGTGTGTGGGGGAGATGAATATAATGTCTATTATAAAATTGAGTTCAAACAGACAACTGAAGACTACAGATGAGCTGAATGTGGGTGTATCTGTTAAAGACGAACAGTAAAGCAGCACACTATATTTTGACTAATAATGTCCCAGCATGCCAAGCGGCAGAGCCAGTGACTCAGTGTGTAGGTGTAGCCCTCTCACCCAACTTGGTGATTAACAATAGCACAGTGAGACACGGCCCCCGCTGAGCCAAATATCTGGGTAAACATGGCAGCGCCGCCTGCCTTCCCTCATACGCAGGGTAGGACTAGTCCGCCTGTCGCTCCACTTGATTGACAGCACAAGATGGAAGCACCGAGGCTTCTGGGAAAAGAATAAGTGTGGCTCTCACTGATCTTGGCTTCTGTGCTGCTATGGAGATGAGGGGGAGATGAGGGGAGATGAGGGGGAGATGACTATTTGTTGAACTTAGAATAAGTAGAGTACGGGGAGCGCCCCACAGGAGGCCATGTTTCCTTTGAGTGACTCGGCCTCCTAAGGTTAATTCATAATTCATATTCGTGCCTGAGAAGCAAACATAAACAAGTAGTGAATTAAGTGTGAACACGCACACAATAAGTTTGGCGAGAGTGCATATTACTACAGCTAAATGTGTCAAATCTTATCCTGCAGACTCTTTAGTGAGATAAATATTTTATTGCGCCGCTACAGATAAAGTCAAAGACTGAAACCCATGAGAATACAACCTGAACTGTCACGCACACTTGAACAAAGAAGCCCAAAAGGAGTTGATTTGATAATGGTTTATTTTGGAGTTGCACTATTGGCTGTGCAACACTTCCTTTTGGTTTCTTCTCCATCTTTCTTCACATTGGTCTCTGCCAAGTAACTCCGACTGGCTTAGTGCCATATCATAAGGCATGCTCAGGTCTTGATGAGAGCCTTAATTATTTAATAGCCACAGTGGGAGCATTCAGGGGAAGCCATCTGCTGCAGCTCAGAGGATTGGAGAGGCCGATGGAGCGTTGCACGTACAGACGCAAGCTATAAACCACGACCAAGCAGTTCTCATTTAGACAGCGAATGACTTCTTTTAAAATGCCATTTCATCAACAAGGGGTGGAAGTCTAGGTAACACATCTGCACTAAACCACCAGTGAAGCCTGTACCATTTACAGCAGTCACTTACCAAGTGTAGCCATGTGCTGGAGGTGTTAAACGCGCTATGACCTGACAAGAGCCCTCCTGTTCAGCACAGTGTTCAATGCATTCTGAGTGTTCGTGACACAGTCAGACCTGGTCCTGTATTAAACTCTGGGGGTGCTTATGTTTTACACACACTCCTCCAGGGCCTGACAACAGCTCTGAAATCATGCTCTTTTCAATAGTGACACACAAAGCTTTACCGCGGCAGGGAGTCAGAGGTTACACCCTGAAGAGAATGCATTTTCATGAGCTTTGATGCAGTGTGCCTTGTGAATAATGCAGAAATGCCTTTGTAGAAAAGTTGCATGTAGTACACCAGCAGGACTGATTAACACATACATTTGGTTGTCAAAAATGGCTCGAAGGCACAAAGGCAGGTGCATGCTTTCAGATGAGTTGGCATTTGAGTGTCACAGTGTTTTAATATCGCCACTGTTGCTATGGGACGCCCTAAGCCTCTCTGCAGTGCTAATATCAAAGGTCGATCAGCCATTACTCTTCCCCTCCTGCCTATTTACTCTCCACTTTGATTTACATTTTACCCCCAAACCAGTGGACCTTTTTGGGCTCTCTCTCCCCTGCTTTCTCTGCTGTTTTGGTAATTGCGTTCATTGTCAGGAGTGCCACTTACAGCAGGGATAGTTGACCACCATGATGTCATCCAGGGCGATGAAGCCTTTCCGCTCCCTGGAAACAGTGGCTTCTATCAGCACCTGCAAAAGGTAAAGTGAATATGATGAAGTAACTGCCATGTGATTATCCTATACCACTCAAAGCTTAAGTAGAGCAGACATTTTGAAAATAACCTCTAGAGCTGAGAGGGTTGTGACTTTCTGATAGACATAATTACAAACAAAGTATTGCACATCTGAGGAAAAATCCAACAGGCCAACTGAATACCAAGAAAGAGGAGAATAATAATGTTGGTTATGACTACCAGTCTCATATGCAACCTCCTCTACCCTTTCCCAATTAAAGGTATAAAGCAGGGTGCGCTTGAAACTGTGGAGATTAAAACTCATGAACTTGAACTTGAAAGGTTGTTTGGGGTTGTTTTGGTAGTAATGTTTGTGAGTTGCAGAACCACAGAACCACAGAACCACACGAAGAAAATGTAACTTTTAAAAATTGCTGCTTCTAATAGACACTGAGGGACAAATGTTCACTTTTGAGGTAAAATATTGTACATCCTACCATAAAGCACATCACAAATGCACATCTGCTGACCCGAAACCAAAATAATGGAGACAATGGAAGAAATAAGAAAAACATTAAGCAGAGATTGCTTTAGTTTGGCCTCAGACTGCAAGATGGAGGAAATATAATAGCTTTATCTAGGAGGACACAATGTGGTTCTGGAGTAGTGAGGTGCATTGGACATTCAGGGTGCAGCCTGCGATGAGGCTATAAGAGCAGATAATACAGCGTGCACATGGGGCCCGGGGGACGGCTAAACTGCACACGGCACGCTGCTGGAACAATAAGCTGCGTGAGGGGGGCTCTGGCGAAGCCTAATCAATATCGAATCACCATGCTCTATAATGGCACAGAGTTATGAGGCTCCGGGGGGATGTTTGTTTTCCACGCACCAAGGACAGGCTTCCATCGGACGGTTTGATCGAAGGCTGGCTTTGAGTTATTGTTTCTCATAATCCTCCGACCACATGATTACAACATGGATAATGTCCGCGGCTCAGCTCAGGCTCTCGCACAGATGCCCTTACACTGGATACTGTTTATGACTGGTATTTACAGGCAGGTGCAAATATCAATAGTAAAAGCAACTGAAACATATTAGACGATTGTAGAGGGCATCTGGAAATCTTTGGAAAAAATAGATTTGATTTGAAATCTGTGTTTTTTTGTCTGCTTTAGCAGATTTAGTGGTGGTTGTATTCATTGAAGCACAGTAATAGCATGTTAATCAGATGAAAATTGCACAGTAACTAAAAGTGTAATTATGATAATCACAAGGTAATTAATCATGAAAACAGGATTCACATCTGTCACTCAACTTTTATGGTAGTGTGATGGTTCCTATTTTTAATCCAATACAGACACAAAAAAATGGTAGATACATTCTTGCTATTAATTTGGAAGGCTACAAAACGCATGAAGTCTATTTCCGTAGTGGAGTGTGATCTATTTAGTACATTGCATTTTGAATGTAACATGACTTATTATAGCAACCACTGTCATTAAGTACAGCTATAGTTATAATACATTCAGTGAGTACATTTACTTTTTCTTTAATTAGATTGAAAAATTTGCAGGATATATTAATTCAGGTCCAGAATGTCTCAAAGCTGTTCTGTAGTTACTTCAGAAAAATAAAGTGAATAAAAGCTACATAACACACTTATGAGAGCAGTTTTGTCTTATTTTATTTTTGTTTACAGGAAGTAATTGCTGTTTTCACCAGTCTCTGATACTTAAGGCAGATACTTAAAGCTCAAGCATAGCAAGTGAAAAAGCTGAAATTAAGAAAGAATTTAACTTTCACATTATATAATTTCACTTAGCCTTGTTAGAGCTTAATGATGACTGGAGACTCTGCAAGTATGGTTCTTGACTTGAATTTTACCAAACCCTTCTAGTTAAGAGCCAGAAGGACAAACAACTCACCCATACTCTTGCCCCTTTGCAAAATATTTACTGGCGTGTATTTCAATAATAGAAAAGTGAGAAAAGTTTCTTGGATTCCCATGGTGTTTGCAGAAGAACAACAACACCTCTGGCACCTCTGGCCCCAGATATCCTCCTCTCGCGGTGAACAGGATGGAGCCAGACCCACCTCACGGACTTAAGGCCGGGGATACATGTGATTACAGCAACAATTGGTGTGACAACAACCCTGGCCGTGCAAGACCCAGAAGACACCTCTGCAGACGGACAGGAAGTGAAAAGATTGAGGTCGGGGAAAAAAAAAAAAAAAAAAAAAAAGATCTAGAATAAATGAGGCACAGAGGTGAAGAGTGTGGGCTGTACGAGTACTGTAGACTGAAGTGGAGGTGGCGTCACTTGGATACCATGATGTAAGGTGTGCATCGGGGGTCATTGAGTTGGAAAGTGACCCCTCTTCCACTATAGATGCCCGCCCTCCTCTCACCGCTGGATCAACACGGAGGCTAATCTCCTCCTGCCAAAGTACATTTCTCAGTTTGTTCCCATGCTCGACTTGAACCTGACCCTGAAGACGCCATAGGTATGATTTACAGCCTGCTCTCTCCCACTTCTCTGACATTTTCTATCTTATATATAGTGTTTAGGGGGACGTGATGTTCTTAGCGCAGTTAATCTCCTGTGCCCTATGTCTCCTCAATCACCACCTCCGCCCATGTTTTTGTGAGATAACTTAAACAATAATAGCTGTACTTGATCAACTATAATTCAGGAGAGGCCGTTCCGGTCACAAAAGAGGCGTGTTCAATGCTAGTCTTATACATCGAAGGGAAAATAACAAAGATTTGAGGCTCAATAGATTTTAAATCAGCTTGTTTTTATTTTAACTCCAAATTCATCACTTAATTTTCACTTTCACATGTGATAGGTTTGATTTAAAAACTATTGTTCAGACTAGGGATGGGCATTCGATGAAATTTTCTTAATCGATCGTCGGAAGAATTAATGATCGATTATCGATTAATCATTCACATTTTTATATTAAAATGATCATCATTATTATTACTATCTGCACTACTAATCTGCATAAATAAATTCAACTTTACGACATATAAACCGTAACCACTCTAGAGCCACATCAGCCCGTTTGAGATTATAAGGTGTTTAAGGCAGATTTGCGCAACTCTCACAGAAACAAAATTTAAAACTGCATGGCTAATTTGCATAAATTAAGCAAGAAAAAAAAAACAGGGCTGATGCGGTCAACTTCTGTCAGATTAAAGGACACGACTCAGTGGAATACAGGTTAGTGTGACCATATTTGTATTTGTCAAAACCAAGACACCGTACGGGGGGTGGGGCCTCGTCATCGACATTGCGCTACTCTCACCTGGTAAAGCTTTTCCCCACTGGACACCGAAACATATGTGCTGCTTTGTGCACTGTGCACATGGTCTCCCGCTTGTCCTGATTGGAAAGCGTGGAATTTCTTGTACAAGTCATCATTAATTACGCATTTGCGCTTCGGCATGTTGCAGGCTGACCGACTGTCTGTGTCTGCTCACTCCTTCTGAGTGCAGAGAGACACATGTATGGACCCCTGTTTGGTCACGCTACGCACAGCAACCTACATTCGGTTTGTCGAATAAAATGAACGTAATTGGTGAAATTCTTAATGATCAATTATCAATTAATCGACTAATCATGCCCATCCCTAGTTCAGACAACTATGTTTAAAATGTTTTCTGCTATGTGGCACATGGTCATGTAAGAAATGTCTGTAAAATACATAGAAAATTACACAAACACTTACATAGAATCAGAAATCATACAATGCCACCATTTGTTATTTCCTTTACAGAGCTAATTAATTCAAATCCCACATTTCTATTGTATACACTCCAAACAAAGCACTGCAGTTCCTACTGTTTGTGTATTTGTTTGTTTATACAAATATAGTATAGAAATTAGCCAAGGTCATGGACTAAATGCGGAGCAATTGGCGGAAGAGAAACATAGTGAAGGCCAAATCGAAGGTGGTCTTTCTTAGAGTGAGGTGAAGTGCTCAGTGAATGATTGAATATGGGTTCATCTCCGGTCTCCATTAGGACGAGAGTAATTAAGAGGTGAACAATATGCATTTGTTTCAATAATCAGCCTCACAACATGCTTCTGTTTTTTTATACATAGTTCTCCCTCTACCTCTGAGACCCTGTTAGCTCTACTTTACTAATGAATTGTTGCTTGGAGATGCAGGAATCATCTAAAGTGGTAAAAATAAAAGCATGCCATGAAATGATTTATAGCAGAAATAAAAGACACATTATGAGGATGTATTACATTACACTGCTATACAGGCCTTTAAAAGCTCTGTAATGTATACAAATCAAAAGACAATTCATCTGAACCATAATGCACACAGCCTTCCCCGCAGCCAGAGACAGTATTAGACGCCAAGTCCTCCTCCCGTCACTATTGGACACACTCATAGGTAAATAACCTCCCAAAAGTCACAACTAAAAGGTCATTCGCTCAAGGAAAGCTGCTCAACTGGAAAAGGCCAGAGCTGTCCATGTTATAAAATATGCCATTATGAATACCAATATAGCCTCTTTAGCGCAGTTTCAAAAGACACTGTGAAAGTCCAGGCTCACAAAAGAGAACATATCTGAAAGAAGTTGCAACAATATGCAGCGGATCACTAATTAAAAAAACCTTTTTCACAACAGACTAAACAACTTTTATAAATACATGTTGAATAAGCTACTTGCATAATGTATTATTTTTTTCATTTTTAGACACAATTTTTAAAAATGGGTTTGTTATTGTATCAAAGAAATAAAATACCCGGAAAGATGCTTGACCTTCACCGGTTGAAGTTGAATCTGATTATTAAAAACAAGTGGCTTGCATTTTTTTAAATTTTTTTTTTTATAAAAGAAACAGTAAAAATGTTTAAATCATTGCCATTTACACAAAAAGTAGTCCTCCAAATCACATTTAGATGGTTCTTCTTTAGACCCTCAAAAATGCTTGAGCTTTGAGTGTCTAAAGAAGAGTTGTATAAATCTGATCCATTATTATAATTTCATTTTTTTTATTTTTTTTTGGCTGTGGACCTCTTGATAAAAGAAAAAAAACAGACAGAAATGACTCTTGATCTCAATTGAAATGATGTGATTAACTGCAAAACCTTATATGAATAATTTTCAAATCAATACAAAATCTGAATATAACCTTGACCTGGATTTGAACTGATTTGGAGAGAGAAAGACCAGTAAAACCCCACGTCTCCAGCTCTAGTTGACGCTCATACCAGGTTGGATAGCATCTTTAATATTTGATAACCAGTTCCTCTTGGTATTGCGCCTCTACCAACACGACAAGGCAGCGCTCCAGACACACAAAATCTCCAATCGAGACGTCTCAAGGTCTCACTATACCGGAGGATTTTCACCGTTCAATCTGTTCAGCCTGAAACTCCTTCTTCAAATGCACAATAGGGGTTTAGAGTGATCACATAAGGGCGCTGTGTATTTGAACACACATTTCATGGGCTTTTACAAAAATTGCATTTACAGATAACAGATGAATCGATTTGTGTCTCAATACAAAATATAAACAATACAAAACATCAAACTCAATTTCACTACTAAATAAATAAAAGGTTTTAAAAAGGTCTTTTAACAACAAATTTTAGACCAATTTTCAACTCAAAAATAGTTGTTTCTTAATATTACCATGTAGTCGTGACTGTAATAGAAGTGATAGAGCCAAATGTCCAATTTTGTCAAATTTCTGTGATTTTCTTCATTGTTAATATCTGTTCAAGTGAGTGTGTTCTAGTGTTGATACTAGTTTTAGTACTGATTAGTAGCTGGGTATCATTTTTTGACAAAACCTACGATAATCTAGAAATTTTAGAAAAGATGATTCATAAACCCCTTCCAGTCTGTTCACTTCCAAAGATTTACTTATTTTAACTCACCATGACTTGAGAAACCAATTTTCTAAATCAGGATTTAAAAGAATGCTTTGTGGGTTTAATGATGAAGTAAATCTGTCGGTTAACTACTTAGAGTTGCTATGGAAATGATTTAGAGCTTAAATCTAACCGAGCTGTAAACTAAATACAGCCTTCCATGAAAAGTAAGGAAGCATGGAGACGGATTTTGTTATTTTCAGTTTCCTATTTACTGAGAGTTGTTAAAATAGAGTTATAACCACAGCATAAACTGGTCTACTGACTGCACTAATGTGACTGCAGATTTTATTTGTATTTCAGAACCAGTATTAACCTTTACAGAGTAATGCTGTGCTTCTTTGTGCAATTAATTAAAACAAAGGGTTATAAGTACATCTACTACCACTTGCAGATTAAACTGAGCACCACTGTAAATTAAAACTACAAAATTTAGTAACAAGGCCTATAGGATCAAATGATAAGTATCCAAAATTGTGACTGTTGCCATAACAATTCAACAATCAAAATATTCTTATCCTGAAAATGGATGGAACTCATTAGTATTATAAATAAGGTGTTTTGTCAGGCCATACATCTCCTTTGATCTGTATATTGAGAAATAGACGGTGTGTATTGAAGTTAGTTTGGTTCAAATTTAAAACCAAATTGTTGTACTTTTTACAAGATAATCTAGATAATTCTACATTAGTGGTCCTATTAAACATCAAGAAATATTTGACTCCTGTTTATCCTCTGTCAACCGCTCCTCTAAAGCCTGTATACTCCTCTGCTGTGACTGAGGCTCTGATCAAGGCTCTGCTGCAGTGTTGCGATGTCCTAAACTGTACACCGTAGCTCTGTCTCACCTCAGATTACACTGTTTACTGAGATGCTCACACAACTTAGACAAGAGAGAGCGCGGCTCATGGGAGTGTCAGGAGAGGACAAGGCAAACACACTGTATAAAAAGTATAACACATTTTCTTGTTCAATTCTTTGATTACCATTGTCTATAAAAGCTTTTTGCGCTTATATAGGCTTTGGGGCTCTGTTTCATTACCGTGTACAATATTGTATACATATAGTAATTCATTAACCAAATAAACTAAGCATATTATCAAATTATTATTGAAGCTTTTGATCAAACTGCTCAAGGGAATAACACTGAATTCAACTGAAATCACTTAATATAACAGAACAGGGAGGTTTGAATTTTATTTTATTTTTTTCAAAACTTGAAGAGTGGGCAGCTTAGCTCATACTGTCACTATCCTTGGGCAAGAAGCTGCCTACAAAATGAATAATAGTATTTTGTGTTATGCAAGAAAATGCTTTTTGTTTTTAATTATATTTAATCTGTTTGTGATTCAAAAAGTCAAAAAGTGAATTTGAAAACCATGCATGCTATGAGAAAAGACTCTTTCACTAATTGAATCCTTTTTGTGTTTTGTTACTTGCAAATAATAAAAAATGGTGAGTTAGCATCATCTTAAGCGGCACAAACTGGCTTAACTAAAGAGTGCAATTTTCTGCTTAATTGAGCACAGTTAGAAGCACATTAATTAAAATGGTTGACCAGCAGTGAGACTTTTTATAGCCACCATGACATACTTTATACTTACATACATTTAATATGATTATTTTCTAACATTCTCTATTGAACAAACAATTGCACGCAATTATATTTTCCTCAGATCACATGAAGTGTCAGCACATTGTCACCCTATATCATGTACGTAGCAATGGTATTTACATAGTGAAGGTCACATCTTGCATGGCCGAACAGAATTTAATTAAATTGTAAGGATTGACAGTTCTTGATAAAATGCACACGAGTCCACTTAATTGCTTTCTGACAGCTTCGCAGAGTTTGCAGAAAGAAGAAAATGGATTAATAGAAGCATATCCTATGGGCTACCTGTCTGTAATAGTCAATAGTGTGGCACTGAACACTACAGCACTACACCATGAGCAGTGCTGGAGGCCAGATCTACAAGCCTGCAACCAGGAAGCTCATGTTAGACCTGAGAGGGCCCAAGGGTGCTAGCACTGCTGTATGCTCATGAGGCAATCAATGCTAATTAAATTGCAAATGTAAGTAATTAACACCAAACTTGCCTTTTGACCTAAAGCAAAGATGATCACAGTTAATTTAATAGGAAACCTTAAATAAATTATAAAATATTACACACTATATTGTTATTATCAAGCAGCATTTATTTGACTGAAAATGCAGCACAGTCTCAGCAAAAAAAATATCTGTGTTGCAAAACTCAGTGCTCTGCTATTTTATAGTTATGTAGAATGAATTAAGCATAAATCAATCATTCATTCATGCACCATGCCAACCCAAAAACCCTAATGTGAGTAATGGATAGGTTTTAGCTTCCTATTAATACACGATATTTAATACACGAGGACTTTTCAACATTCTAAATACAGAATACTGGGTGAATTCTTAATTTTTCATCCTTCTTTAGATGTAGATTAATCCTTTTATAAACCTAAACTGAATTTATCTTTAACTACATCATTGGTTGATAACTAACAGCATTTCACTGTCTTCAAGTTTTTAATTAATCCTTGAAGACAGATTAATCCTTTTATAAACCTAAACTGAATTTAAATTTATCTACATCACTGGTTGATAACTAACAGCATTTCACTGTCTTCAAGTTTTTAATTCTGGGTAGTGTATAGTTAGGAGTGGGGTAGTTGTAGGGTGCATTCACACTGCACATCAAAATTCAGACTAAACTGGGATTAAATTCAGAACCAATCCTGGACTAGACTAGGACTAAACCAGGACTTTATTAGGACCAAACCAGGTCTAACAGCCAGATTAGAGTGGGCTCAAACCAGGACTCAACAAGGACACAAGTGAATGCTCCCATAGTCATACTTATATTGTTGCTAAATCCCAAACTGTAAATTCTCAGAGCTATATGGTGTCTTACCTGGTATTCACTTGGCCAGAAGGTGCTGACAGCGAGTTCGACCTGGTGCCACTGTTTGCCATGGGAGCCTGAGGCGTTCCACACAGGGTTTCCCAGAGGCCCCCCATTGACGCGCACATAGGCGTTGAGGGCTCCAGGGCTGTGGCCGTCCCGACTGTACAGGAAGTAGCTGAACTGGACACAGTGAGTGTCATTCTCACTCAGCGGAGGGAGAAGCAGTTGAGCACGCTGCCCCACTGCATGCTGGGAGGAGTTCACGAGCATGTAGGAGCCTGGAAGAGAGCATGGTATGATAGATTAGTTATCTAAGAGTAAGGACATATGAATTCACATATGAGTTCACAAAACACCCCAAGCAGAAACAACTGTATGCTCATTAAAAGTGGAGGTATCACGTGCCATGACCGTGGGAGCAATAAACATAGTGGTTTAAAACATAGCACTTATGGTTACACCACCTCGGCGTTGTGGGTTTGCCAAATGTCTCCACTCGCTTTTCACCGTTTTCACTCTCCCTATTCACAAGTTTCCAGTCTAGAAAAAAAACCCTAACAATTATAACCCCTCAAGATGTGCTGTTCTGGAGATGTTGAATTTCAAAGAAACAAAAATCTGACTTTAAGTTATGTCCTCTGATTTGTTCGTCTGGATGCACTATGGTCGCTTATATATGATTTCTCAGAACTCTAAAACAAATATCATGCAAATTGTGTGAATTAATTGCAGTGGCCTTCAGTGGGATTAGTATAGCTGCTGGAACATTTGAAACAAAAGGAACATTTTTCTAGACAAAAACCCTACTTTAAGGGGAAATCTGTTGGAATAAAAATGGGAAGTAAAGGTACGTTTCTGTCACTTGGTGCAGCTCTGAGTGAAAGCAGACGATAACAGTGAAAGAAATGTGCCAAGTTGAATACAAAAACACCATCAGCTCAGCAGTAGCAGGCGGCAGACCTTATGAATACAGGCAGTGACACAGAATGAAATGGACTTAGAGTGATGGCAACCTTCCCTGTACAAGGTGACTCGGAGGTAAGCAACAGGACTCACAGACCCCCCCTAAAGCCTTCTCTAATCAGGATAGCACAACCCCATCGCCCTCTCCCCAGCATCTGTCCTGCTTGAGTCGGAGCCTGCTAACGTGATTAGCACCACAATGTTGGGAGTCCTTCCTGTGTACTCTCATAATCAAACCAGTTGTCTTTGTCCTCCAAGGTCCCAGTGTTCTCCGACCGAGACCAACCACAGCTGCAGTGCAGGTGCCACAGAGAGTACACGTCAAGGCCAGATGACAGCACAATTAAAGACACAACAGGACCTGAACATAGACTTCATGGAATGTTACAGTTTTTAAGGATGAAGAGTGCATTTTAAGTGTATCTCCAAAATAGTACATTATCTCACAAAACCACAAAAAGATATCTGATACAGGGATAGTCCAACATGGATTTTTAAAGATTTTTTGTCCCTTTTGCAAATATTACAACAAAAATATTTATCTGGGATGGAATATAACTTTTTTATGATGATTGTGTAAACATACAGCCATCTTTTTTGCATATTTGTTTTTCAATTGCCACTGGTTTGGCTAAAACGACTGATGCACAAAGGATAAACTGGGAATGACTTAAGAGCACAGGAGAATGACGCAGCTTAGATAAAATATTGGCGCTAGCATAAGGAGAATTTTTAAATACGGGGCTGCTTCAGTTACAGAAAAAAGGAAAACTCAATATTCCTAAGAGCAGATAAAAAAGAGGACGACCAGGTTAAAGAGCAATCTTAGCAAAATGCCTAACAAATTCTATACTCTTGTTGCACTGAAAATAAAAGCGGCGCTATCAGGACGCTTCAGCAACAGGTGAACACTGCACCTATCCTAAAATTCACAAACACTACTAGTGCCTAATCACGTGGCTCTTTTACATAATGATGTGAGAATGAGAGTAGAAGTCAAACGGTGGCCCGAGGGGTCAGAGGGGCTCATTACTGCAGGCTGCACAGAGCCCTTTCCTGCCCAGCCCTCTGCCCCCAAGCACAATGTCAACAACCCCTGATTTGTGTCTGCTTCTCTCATTTCGTTTCACTTAATTAGATCTTTCAGAGGTTGCTCTCTCCTGCTCCCCAAGCCCACAGGGACCTATAAAATAATAGCCAAGCCTGAAGTGCCCTGGCCGCACTGTCCTCAGCTTAGGTTCAGCCCTGGACACATGCCCCTTTTTTAATATTGAGTCAACACTTTCTGTCAACTCTGCAACTTCCCAGGACACTGCATAGGTGCATGAAGCATTGTTTTTGCCCTTTTTGACCCAACATCTGAAAGAGATGGGTGAGGTTCTGCATTTTATGAGATGTGACAGGCATATGAGATAGGAAGCTGAAAATATACTATACTTCAGCATTATCAAGGCCAAAGTCATGTCACATTTTGATAAATTTAATAATAACAAGTCTGCAAAGCCTTGACAGAAGTGTTCTTACCTTTATTCAGCTAATCAGTCATAATATACTCGCAAGACATAATTGTGACAATGTAGAAGCAATCACATGAATATTTGATCTATATCCCATCTGGCTGTTTGGACTGAGAACATGTGTATACGTTAAGTACTGTGTAGTTGATCCTTTGTTAGCTGGCCAAGTCAACAGTCTTTGAAGAATTTTAATATATTTTAATTAATGTTTTCTTTTTTTATTAGTCAGTGCATATTAATTCAAATAAGTTGGCATGAACATAAGTAAACTGAAAGCTGCATTTTTATGAAACGTATTAACCACAGGGGTCTTTATACGGTTTGTCACTTTAACTTTAGTTTAATAAAAGTGACAAATGATAGAGGAGTGTTCATCTATTCAACAATGATAATGAAAGTGAGACTATGGTGTCAGTAACTGTGAATAATTCTACTGTGATGTTTTGTCTCACTTGATATTGTGAGTGACGTCTATACTACAGTGATCCTTGTCATATAAACTTGCCTAGGGTTTCCTATAACTTTATCAAAACTCTACTGTGACCATTTTTTAAAATTATTATGTAAAATATGGATTTCTGTTCAAGTTAAATAATTGTTCTGCACTCTTCCCCTTAGAGTTTATAACCAAGAACTTAAGGTAGAGAGGTTGAGTAACAGAAACATACTTCAATAAATGAAATGCCAGCTCAAGGAGACTTATTCAAAAGAGCATAGAAGAGTTTAAAGGTTAGCTGACACTTCATCTTAACCTTAAGGCTACTCAATTTAACTTTGCCTTGGCATGGAAACATTTTAAATTCATTTTCCCTGGAAATGTTCTAGAGATCTTTACCCATGTTGTTATGAGTGAACAATGACAATACAAGGTGCCATTACACTGTCCCACATCTCTTCAACATCCAAGGATTTGTCCTTTTGTTGAAGAGAAGTCTGCAATTCTAGTCATGGACTCTGTGATTGCACTCAACCACAACCTTCACAACGTAATCAGCATCAACCTACAAGTCTGCGAGGCTCTCTGTGTCCTGTGTGTTTGTACAATATAACTAATGCTATTTAAAACAGAATGACCTGTTCTTATTCAAATAGTTAGCATGACATAACTGGTATATTAGAATTTCTAATTTTATCTCATATTATTAAAGTAGATTTCTTTAACCTCTATTCAAGTCCAGCTGTACAACTCAGGATTACCAAGGTAAGTGGTAATTTGAAAAGCACAAAATGGAGACCAAACCAAATGCTCCCAAAAGTTTCTAGCAAGTGGGTGGTTTTCTGAAGAACAACTCAAATGGAGCCTCAAGTGCCTTCTGTAATAAGGAATGATTATAAAGAAAAAAAAATCAAATTGCAGATTTTATGTCAGTACTGCTGTTGTGACAAAAAATAATAATAAGAATAATAATAATTCTGCACATGTTCAAACTTTGGTGAGAAATATGGAACCATTCAAATATCAAATGCTTGTTTTTTTGTTTTTTTACATAAGAAAGGTTATTTGTTGATAGAGGTCTAAACTTACAATACATTAAGAAATTGTGTAGATTTGACTGTTATTAATCTTGCAGCCCTAGTGTAAAGAATTCACTCATGAGACAAACTGTGTCTCTGCACCCAGAACAGAGATTAGATGTGCAAAAGCCTGCAAACAAAGTAGTATTCATTAATTAAATATATTAAATTTCTCCACCATCTTAAAGATATGCTTCATTGTTCCATCATTATTCCTTATCTGTGCACTGACCTGCTGAGAATGATCATCACAGGCAAAGAGCCAGGAGTTCTCTGACACTTTAATTAACACAGGTCAGCTTTTATGAAAATCAGTTAAGTGCACACTCTGATTTGGTTTCATTACGTCTTTTATTATTTCTGGCTTCGCTACAGCAACATTTTTTATCAGCTGCGTGTTTACAACTTAATTAAAAGGTAGACGCTGGAAAATATGAATCTGCAATGATTTAATAAAACTAATAATCGTTTTATAATATTGTGCTCAGCCAGGCGTGTGCCCTACACCAGCATAGCTCCAACACGGCCCATTTCTCCAGTTATACTCCTGGGCAGCGTGAAATCTGATAAAGTTCTTTCCATCCACGGAAGCCCCTCCCAAGGGCAAAAGAACATCCATAACAAGATTAGGAGTGATCCGCCACATCATAATTTATAGCGAGTGCTGCTGGACTGCAACCTGGTCATCGTCTACAGTAGCTGACACTATCTGTGGCAAGACACAAGTGAGGAGAGCAGGGGTGGTATCTAACATAAAACCCCGTGGCTCCATCTTGCAATAGAAAACATTGGATGTATTTGGATGGCATGGACATAAAAGTGTTGTATTCATAGAAAATTATGCATTAATGCCATAACAATTAAGAACTGAAAACAAATATTATATAGCTTTTGAATGGTGAAAGACTTCAACATGCCACCTATTAACAGACAACTGAAACATGTATTTTTAAGTCCACATGAAATGCTCAGTAGAAGAGCACTGATGGCAGATTCAGATTCAGGTGCAACCTGTTGATAAAGATTTTAGGACTGGGTACAACACACGAACACAAGAACATCAGCTTAGGATTCACAGCAGTTGGAACTGCCCGCCTATATGTTTCAATATATTATGTTACAACAAAACATACATGAATTGTTTGTTTTCTGAAGTGAATGTGTTCTAAATCCAAATAAATAACAGCTCATTTCCACGCCCACCACTGAACTGAAAATGAAAATCCTGCCACAACAATAGCCTAACCCTAAGACTAACCCAATAATTGCTGTTTAAAGTAACA